AAAGGTTCAAGAACTGACCGCAAATCACTGTTATAAACATTTAGAATTTTGTAATTGGGCTCTCACTCAAAGAGACAACTTTTTCATTTTCCGACTAGGTCACCAGATCTAACGCCACTCGACTTTTTCTTATGGGGTTACTTAAAAAATAAAGTTTACGCTGAGCCTCCGACTACAATGGCCAATATAAGGGATTGCATCAATGAATGCAAGGAAATAACATAAGATACATTAAGAAACGTTAATGAGTCATTAATTTCTTGATTCAGAAAGTGTTCTGATGCAAATGGTCGCCATATTGAATTTTTTTTGTAAATAGACAAAAATTAAAATATCTCCTAAAGTAATAATTTTTTTACATAAATAGGTTAATACTTTTTTGTAAATAATATGAAAGAGCATCAGATGATGCAATAAAAAATATATGATTCCATTTAAAAAAACATTAATGACCTTCATATGTCCTTGACACGTCCACCTAAAAAAAAAAAAGTACAATCAGTATGAGCCCCTTTTAAAGCCATTCAACTCCATGTGAAACATTGTCTGCTACGCGTAATAATAAAAACGTAAATCAAGGTGGTAAAATGTGGTGACCAACCCTGTATAATTTTTGGTAGAATTTTTTTTATAAAATACAATGCTATTTGGTATATCCAAAGTTCTTATTGCATAAATGGTATATTTTTTGTTATACATGCAACATAAAATATATATGGCTTTTTAAATACACGGTTTGGTTATTTGATTCTCCGTGGTAGGAATAAATATACATAAAGTTCATTACGTTTATTGTTAAATATGTAGACATGTGTATGAGTTGTTCACAGGTCAGAAGAATTCACTTCATTTATAAAAATGAATGCCATAATATAGAAAATAAATTTCTTTAATTATCCCTTTGACTGTTAAAGGCGTATATATACGCTTTTACAAGTCCATCTATATATACGAAAGGCGTATATATACGCTCTCACAAATCCATTAATATATACGAAAGGTATAAATATACGCCCTCTGTATTTTTTCACAATGATACTTTTATTGCTGTTTTACCGATTAATTTAAGATGGAATTTATTGTGCTATGTAACATAACCCTCCATAGTAACATAGTAACTAAATATTGGCAATTATTTTAATATCGTTTAGTCAATTGCTTTCATATTTGACTGCTCTTTTATTTTTAGGTTAAAATTATTAAAATATCATGTTAAAGTTGTCATATTTTGTGTTACATTATAAATTTTGTATTTTTTCCTTTACATTTAAATTACCGATTATTATTGAAGGAATGCACAAAATAAATTAAGTAAATTAAAATAGCTTAAAGAATTATTAAGATAAATAACAAAAATTGATATTTTTATTTTATTTGCCATTATTATTTTTTAAACCCTAAGAATGGTATCAAATTTCCTGGTACTGTTTTGGTCAGTAATCAGTGGAAAAACAGTCGCAGCGACTGACATGCGAAAATCGCGCCGCGCCATTCATATTAATAGATTTGTTCGAGAGCGCGCCGCAGTCAAAAAATATTTAAAAATATTATATTTGAAAATATTTTCCTTTAAAAATATCTTTTTTTGATTTGTTAAATGAATTTTAATTATTTTAATATTTGTCGTGTAGAAGATATGTTAATATTTTTTGAATACATAGACGTGTAGATGAATTATTCACGGTTCAAAAGAAATTACTCAACTTTAAGAATTTTACGCAATTTTAATACTAAAGCATAAAATAAAATTTATTTTTTTTAAATATTTAAACTAAATGTCGCAAAATAATTTATGATAATATATAAAATTGTTCTCGACCCTTTTATCTAGTGAAATTAATCGATTTAGCAAATAATCGGCTCATCGTGTAAATGTAGATACCTACACAACTTAAAAAGGATTTGAATAATAAAATAAATTTGACAAAAAGGAGAAGAAGAAGAAAAAAATGTTGGATCCGAATTAAGAAACATTTTGGAGATATTTAGGTGCAAGACTGTTAGCTAGTTCGCGACAGCTGCAGTAGGGTTCGTTTGGCTGCTGAGTTTAAAGAAGGAGAAGGAGAAGACGAAGACGAAAAAGAAGAGAAAGATATATAAGAGGTAAAGGAAAGAGAAAAAGAAAGAGAAAGAGAAAGAGAGAGAGAAAAGACGATAGTGGCACGTGTCCTACGTCCGTTATAAGCTTGTCGAGGGGTAGGAACCCACTTAAACTGCTGAAAGAAAATGAGCGGTGCGCCCTTGGCTGACACTAACGATGCGGTTATTCTTTCCGTTGTCTTATCCGCCAATGAGATTAGTTACAAAGTACTATACCTTGTTATAGTATGTATATCAGTCAATTTATGCGAAACTTCGAACAATTTACTTTGCAAATGATATTTTTTTATAATGTTCATGATATTTTGTAGAAAAAGTGCAATAGAATAACATTTAATATAAATAAACGAATAAGGACGTGAAGGAAAAAAATAAAAAAATACATTTACATATATTATAATTATAATTATTGTTATTGAATGAACGTCAAATAAAAAGCTAATGTTTATTGCATTAAATCTCATGTAATAAACATTAGCATTTTAAAAGGATCCTTTCGTCGGGTCTGTTATTTATCGTTCGTCAGTATACTCGTCTTTATACTTTAAGATTAATTAGTAATTACAATGACTTCGAAGGGATCTTAAACCCTTTTTCTATTAAAAGCATTTACAAAACAAAAAGAGAAAAGAAATAAATAAAAGTCAATTTCGTGGAAAGAAGTAAAGGGACTTTTTTTTTTATAGGAATTTATATAAAACCAGGTTGGAATCGTCTATAAATGGTTTTTTTAAGCGAATTAAGGTTATCGTTTAAGGGGGAATACTTATCTACCGGTATAATTAGTATGTAATATGTATTTTTAAGCTCTATGGGTGTGTGCGTATACGTATGCGTTATACGCGTGTACGCAAACATAAAAGAGCCACAAATAACGCGAAGTTATGGAAATTTATGTTGAACGAGAAAGTAAGTTGGTGGTGGTGGTGGTGGCGGTGATACTGAGGAGGGGGTCAGGTGTCGACCAGGTCAAAAGTCAGATTCGAAAGGGATTGCATTACCATTTTGATTCAAACGATAGTTCAAAGCACCTTCGATGAGTTGACGACATTGGTGTTTTTTTTTCTTCTTCTTCTTCATTAGCTCTTTTTTTACTCTCATTAAACAAAATCTATTGGAGACGTTTTGTAATGCATAAAAAAGCAGCTGGTTTATATTTTACGAATCTTAACGTCGAATTCAAGAACATAAATTCGATGGTTTTATCGAATTTTTGTTATCCAATTTGACAATTTATTTGTGAAATAAATATTATAATATTAAAATAATAATAATAATTAATATAATAATCACAAAAAACACGAAAGAAGTTATGAAAAATATTGTATGATAATCACGAGTAACTATATTTATTATTATTATGATTATGACGATGATGATGATGATGATGATGATGATGATGATGATGCTGATGATGATGATGATGATGATGATGATGAAGATGATGATTATTATTTGAAGAACGTTCAAAAGAAATTCAAAGACGTGACATAACGAATGTGAACGTAATCGAAATAAAAAAAAAAAATGTATACATATATATATTGTCTTTTGAGAAGAGAATTGCACGAGCCGATAAAATACGTTCCTTAAATGGTGCGGTTTTGCGCGCGCGTTAATATTATAGAGACTTAGTTTGTAAATATATGTGTACATGTGAGTGTTCGTCGTCGTATTCTCGTCGTCGTTGTCTTCGTGGACGACGGCTACGCATGATTGACCACATGAGCGGTCGCGTAGCGCATGTTTAATGAACTTTTGCCACCGTGATTCTTTTGACGAAACGTGCTTTTGTAAATAACCTAATTTCAATTCTTCTATTTTTTGTAATATTTTTTTCCTATTTTTTTTTCTTTTCAACTTCACGTCTTTATTTTATATCTTCGTTTTTTTATATTATTATTATTTTCCTCTTTTCTCTTCATATATACGTACACTTTTTATATTATTTTAATTCTATTCACGACTATCTTGATTTTTATAAATTAAATATTTGTGTGTGCGCGCGCGCGCGTGTGTGTGTGTGTATGTTTTATTTTTTTTAATTTAAAAAATATAAGATAATAAAATGTAAGTCAAGTGTTAAAATCGTTTTAACGTAATTCCTCTAATATACTTGTGTGTTTAATATCAAATGCTCTCTGTTCTTATAATAAAATTTCACACGCACGTGGTATTCACATGTACACATTATACGTATGCATTTTATAAGAAAGGCCAAGTATCGTCGTAAGACACATGAAATTGACAGGTATATATGCCATAAGGTGCCACGCCATTTGCCATGGTGCGTATGGCGCATAGAGTGCTGTTCGAGAATATATACACATAGATACACAGAAGAAAATAAGAAGAAGAGAAGAAGAGGAGAAGAAGAAGAAGAAGAAGAAGAAGAAAAGTAGAAGTAAAAGAAGAAGAAGAGAGAGAGAAAGAGAAATACGCACCTGCACCTGCCTTTGCCAGTTGTATCCCTCTTTTACGACGATGCTATCTAGGATGGTGCTCCTGGCCGTTGGCACTGACGCCACACCGCTACGACACCTGACGCACGTGTACACATACATTCCCACGTATACGCAAATGCATACATATATGAATATATTTATATATATGCTAGTAGCAAGAAATACTTATATACACCTACACATACACAATTACTTTGGCCTCGTCTCTTTGACTTCGTGTATATGCATTCGCGAGAAATACCATTAACTTGCCCTCTCGTGCTTGAAAGAGAGTCTTCTCTTTCTCTAACCATGACGCCGTTCACCATGATTCTCACTTTCCATAGGAAACTATTTGCAAAAATATCACTACTATTTCTTAACTATATGTTTCTTTGTACAATGACATGCGATTTTTATTACGTAAGATAATAATTATTCACAACAAATCATTTTTATTTTTTATTTTTTTTTTTCAATTATTTCAAATACATTGATTATGAAAATGGTTCCAATGTCTTTTATATGTATATTTTATAATGCGAAATAGAATCTTTTATCTTTTATGTAATCTTGACAGTTGTAAGAATATAAATTATTGAATTATTTGTATTTTTGTTACAGATATACCGGCACAAGTGCCGCCATTAACGCCTGGGACCAACAAAAAAATGACAGAGGCCCTAGAGGCCTCATTTGCTTCTTGGGAGAAAGAAAGAGTACGTCTAAATATAACTAAAGGTTAGTCTACATTTCTCCTTCTATCTTAAAATACGAATAAATACTAAAATTAAAGTAAAATGAATCCACAAAACACTACACACACAAAACAAACACACACACACAGAGATACACATACATTCATATAAATATCAAATTGTTATTATTAAATATGAAGAAGAGCGTGACTAATGAATTTGAATCCAATAACTGTATTCTTTATTTTCGTTGTTCTCGTTCGATCGTTTGACTTGATATTCCATTCGTTGAACAATAAAAATCAAAAAGAAAGAAAGAAAAATAAAATAAAAGAACGAAAAATCACGAAAGTGATGGATACGCGCGAAAGAATTCTACTACATTTGCATTGACTTGTATTATTGTATATAGGTAAAACATACATATATAAAGTGTCCTGGCTTTGTGATATGTGTATGTACGTGTGTGCGTATGTGTGTGTATATGTTTGTATTTGTGTAATACGTTATACTACTGGTTGAGATCGCGTGCGACGCCCGCACTTAGGCACGATGTAATGTGATGTGCGACGAGCCGACGATGTGCAGGAATTGTGAATGTGATGTTGATGGTTCTCTGATGGGGAGCCGATGCCACACATCCGGTATGCGCATTCAGAACCACGCGGGTGTGACGTTACTTCCGGTCTACATGCCCCGAGTTCGTACCCTCGGGCCAGCAGATCACTTCCATGGTCTGACCTCCGTGAACCAACGATTGCCATTTCAAGCTTAAACCTTGTCTGTCTAAATTTTTCTCTCTATTCTTCAATCTCTTTTTGTTTTGCTCTTCGTTCATTTGGTCATAGAGCTTAATATCGATTCTAGGATAAATAAAAACTTCTTAAACACGTATTTTTTTCAATAATCTTACAATGTATTTAAGGAAATAAATAAATGTGTCCTTAAGAGTAAAATTAATTTTTAAAAATAATTTAGATATATTTTATACTCATCTTCTTGAATTCTTCAATCCTCTGTAATGTTGATTTGATGAGGAATAAAAAAAAAAGGAAAAGAATTAATTTACAAAGTATCTGGAATAAAAATAATCGATTTAATTAATTCAATTGAGAATATTCGATTAATTCAAAATTCACCTTTTTGAATAAATCAATTATTACGATTGAGAGAAAAGAAAGAGAAATTAAAAGATTATCAAATTCAACATATGTAAAATTTCAATATGTCAATTCATCCACATGTTTCAATAATTTAAATATTCTATAACACTGGTTTCAATATTATTTTCAATTTCATCATTTCTGATGTATACACACTCTTTTTGAAATACTTTAGGAAAGGAGTGTTACTATGTTAGAGGTAAAGTAAGTTTGTACAACAGGTATATACAAAAGTTCCGATCCACCTGCGTGAACCTTCCTAAATCAACTAACCGAGATCATATGTGTATGCAGTCCTGTCTTTTTGAAAAAGTTTCATTTTTACAAATCTTTCCCTTTGATTTTTATGTACATTTGTATGTGTATGTTGATTATTGTTTTGTTTGAGTATCTAATAAGAACGTGATATATTTTTATTATCGGTTATTGTACTTTCTAATAATCATTACATCGTCGTTATTATTATTATTATTATTATTATTATTTCGTTATTTATATACTTCTTACTGTGTAAAATAATCGTTCATAAATGATAGACATTTCGATTTATAGAATAATCGTAATACATATTGTATACTTATTTTTTTTATAGTTTTATATCAATAATGTATTTTATTACAATAAATGTTCGAATGTTTCTTCATTTCATTCTAAACAAATAGATGCGCACATTCTATTGCGCTCTTTTACATTTTTCATTACATTTTTTAATTGATTTGAATTGATATTGGAACAATACATTGCTATACGCTCTTTACATAACTTCAAATTTCTCGTAAACTATTGACATTTCGTCAAATGATCTTCACGTAATACTTTTTTACGCAGAATAAAAAAAGGATTCGAATAGTGTAAAAAAAATATAAAGTTCCATTTAAAAGAAAAGTGCAACTGCATCTAGCGGGTGCATCGATGCATTTTCAAAAAAAGTAAGGTCATAGAAAGTTGACATTTGTTGTGCCATATAACTTTTTCCTTTATGATTTTTTTCTATTGTTACTTAAAAAAAAGTTATTACCCGTATATACGTTCCAAGAATCACACTGTATACTTTATTTTAAATAAAATTAAAAATATATAAAAAAAATTTAAATTTTATAAATTTTGAATATCGGTACCAAAATGACGTTGATTCGGAACACAAAATACAATAGAAATCTAATAATATTAATCAAATTCTTCAAATGACCTATCATTACGAACCAATAAAACAGTATAATCAAACGATTTAAAAAATAAATATTATCGATAATGTGTTTGTATAAAAACGTTCGAAAATTCTTATTAACGATAAACAGATTTTGCTCGTTGAAAGTCGATGTTGGACTGAGGAGTAAAGAAGAAGAAAAAGAAGAAGTGTAAGAGAAAAAGCGAGAGTAAAAGAGAAAGATAAAGAGAGAGAGAGAGAGAGAGAAAGAGAAAGAAGGACGAACACAGAGTCTGTTAACAATACTGACAAGGAATAAGTTATGTAAACATCGACACGATCCTCAAACATAGTCGGTCGCTTTGATGACGGTGTGCCGTTAGACACGCTCGCCTTGCTCTTTACTCACCTTTTCTATATTTATATATTATTATCATCCCACGTCTTTTTCTCTTTCTTTCTTTCTCTCTCTCTCTCTCTTTTACACACTTTTTCCCTCTTCTGATGCGCGAAAGTATCTCATCGTTTTCTACGAATCATTCCGTCTCTTTTTCTCAACCGATCGTCGGCTTCCATTCATAAAAAGATCTTGGTTCTCTCATCACGTATCCCAAGAAAGGCTAGAAAGAGACAAACATATGTGTAAGTATGTATTTCGATCGATGCCAAGATTTCGATCGTTATATACAAACTTAGAAAGAGAGAGAGAGCAAGATGAATGTGAATTTTGTTCGGTTCTTTTCTTCTTTATTTCTTTTTTCTTTTCTTACCTGCCTCGTTTTTCGCCTCGACTTTGTTTAACTCTTCTGAATGTTTACCTTCACACCTTCTCCTTTTAAAAAGAAAGAGAAAGAGAGAGAACGTCTTCATTTTCCTTGTTCTTTTTTTCCTTTTTTCTTTTTCTTTCTTTCTTTTTTAATTTTAACGTCGTTCTGTTAAACGATCATCATATTGTGCTAAACGATCTCTTAACGAAGCCTATTGCTATTTCATTTGAAATGCACACGTCAATGTGTTTGCGTTTTCAAAACTAATGAATTGTCAATAAATTATGCGTTATGAGTTGGTTGATCATGAATTTCGAATATTTTTTTTTTTAACGTTTTCGTGCTTTTTTCATGATTGTTGATTAAAAATAATGAAAGGGTGGGGCGATATAAGGGAAGTAAAAAGAAAAAGAACGTCAGTTGTTCGAAAGACGTCAGAAAGGAGAACGTCAACCTGTAGAGAGAGGGTGTTTCGTCTCGCCGACATCATCATTTCTGTTTGCATTATGAGCCGAACTGTACTTTTACGTAGAAAGATACCGCGAAACAATGCAAGACGCGCGTGCAAATATGGGCGCGCACTTCAAATGGGACATTCCAATGTTTCTCGGTATTCCTTCTACCCAAAGAGAACTCTATATGGATTCGGACGATAGCCTCTAGGTTCCTTTGCATTTTTTTTAACTATTAAATTTATTATCAATACGTTTCTTTGTATTTTTTTTCTACTATTAAATTTATTATCGATACATTTCATTAATCATCAATGATATTAATTTAATATGTTTTTTTTTGTTCCACAACCCAATCATTTAAAAATAATTTTTAACTTGAAATTGACTCATAGTGTTTAAATCTAACCCAAAATTTTCAAGAAAGAGCAAGCGAAAGATCTAAAATATTTCGATCAACTGTAATATCTTTTCAAATATATAATATTGTTAATAAACAATCATGGAGTAGTTTGAAAATGTCTAATTAATTTAAAATTTGTAATCAAGTTCTTGTGGCTTTAAAATTTAACAAAAATTACCGTTAAAAAATATCTCTTGTAAGGGTAATTAGTAATAAAAATCATTTAGGAACCATTTCCGATCCACTCAAAGAGTTTTGTTTAACTCTGTATTTTATGTTCATTGTAAAAAATTACAAATTTCTAAAAAAAAAAACGTGTATACAATATTATTGTTGTCCCATTTAATCGCAGGAAGTTTAAGTGGTATCCAAGATAACGTATTAGTTGGTATCTTATTTAATGAGATAATCTCGTATAATGTTTTTTTCAGACCCAAGGCAATGGTCGGAAGCAGCTGTCGCCCACTGGTTGCATTGGGCTATCCGTGAATTTTCGTTCGAGGGTGTGGCCATGCAACCCTGGCAGCACATGACCGGAAAACAGATTTGCGCTATGGGAAAGGAATCCTTTTTAGCACGTGCCCCAGCCTTCATGGGTGACATTTTATGGGAACACCTTGAAATGCTGCAAAAAGGTACACGTAACTTTTATACCTCATTCTAATTCTTATTCTTCTTTTCGTTTTTTTTCCTATGAGGATACACTTGCATCTACTTTTTTTCTGAAACTATTTTTGAATCTACGAAGAAGTTAATCAATGTACGAGGGCATATATATATATATATATATATATATATATATATAACTCCCACTAAAAGGGTGAAAACGTCGGTAGAAAAAAAAATCAAAATCTATGGGATGAAGATAAATCGTTATAGCACCTTAGCACCTGTTTTTCCGATCTTCTTTTTTTACAATAGATCCAACGTGACGACAAAGAAACTATTCAATGTACCAGCAATGTCGATCATTGACAAACTTCTTCGTAAACTCATAACTTCCACGAAATGTATGAAAACGCGTTTAAAAAAATAAATAGAAAAATATCTAGAAAAACGTATACATATTCACTCAAACATATGTGTGTGTGTGTGTATGTGTTTCAATACACGATAGATGGTTAGATGCAGGAGTAACAGGAGCAGGATCGGTAAAAACAGATCGAATTTCCGTAAAATCGCAATATCACGGCAGGTACGCGGACAAAGGACAATGACGAAGGGGAAGTACTACTTCCCCCCTTCTCCCTCTCCCTCCTGCTTCTACTCCTCCTCCTCCTCTTCATTCTCCTATGTACATTGAATCGACGTTCAGAGTTTTTATTCGAATGAAGGATAGAATGGGGAAGGAAGAAAGAATTACGAGACGAAAATGAAGAAGTAGAAGAAGAAGGGAAAAAATAAAAAGGAAAAAAAAGAGTGTATGTATGTGAGAGAGAAAGAGAGAGAGAGAGAGAGAGAGAAAAGTTTTTCGGTATAGAAATTCTTATTCCGGATATCCTGCAACCAACAGAATAGCCCCGTGCCAATGTCTCGGCCACTTAGGTGCTTTTACAAGCCAGCAATTGAATACCCAAAGGATCCACTCGAGTTTCGATCTCTCGAGATCTATCGTTATCCGGTGATAGTAAACGAAAATATGAATGAGAATGTTTTGTATTAGAAAATAAAAGATTTGTCTTTTAGCATTTATTTTTATTATACCTCTATCGATCGTTTGTTTTATTTATTTGCTGACTCGTAGTTACTAACATTTAATAATAATAATATTATTTTCAATCAAATGATTTATTATTCTTTACTGAGTTCCATGTATTTGTCGTATTGAAAATATAGATAGAAAAAAATGAAAAAAAGAGATAAGAGAAGGAGAGAATGAAATCGAATCGAAAGGAGGACAGGAAGCGTAGCTTCATCCATGATTTAACTTCCATCCAGTAAAGTCCCATACTTCCTTATCGATTATTCGACTTTTTCTATTCGTCATGCTAGAAAATTTACGTACTGCCTGTCTGTCATCCTTCTTTATCTTTCATTGCTTTTATTATTTGTTTTTTTTTTAATTTAACGTTTTGAGCTTTAACAAAAAATCTTGTATTTTTGTGTTTAATCATAAAATAAATTATTTCTATGTTAGACTCAACATTTTTCAACCCATCCATGTATTTCATGTTAAATATGACAAAATCAAATAAATAATAATAATATTAAATAAATTATAGAATCAGTATGTTGACAATTTTGTTAAATAATCTACTGTCTTAATTACCGTCTTAATACGTCTTAAACTGTCTTAATATATAAATATATATATATATAATATATATATTATATATATATATATATATAAAATTTGTTTAAAAATCAAACGTCATACATAATAAACATGATGATATTATGTTAAGAAAATTTCATTCATAGTCGAGTATATGTAATAATATTCTCATGCGTGTATTACGTTAATCATCATCATCATCATTATCACCTTCCACGATCATTTTAGATTCCCGCAAATGATCTATATGACTATGGATGTAATAAAGTGTTTATTCTAGAACATTATTATCCATAAAACATATATATGTATTTGCACACTACCATGACATACACCCGGGGAGCGTGGGTAATCGCTTTGATTCCATGAACGAGAACGGATATTAGGAAACCCGTTGTGTTGCAAAGTGAAAATAACAAATAAAAAAATAAAGAAAAAAGTAGAAACTGAAAAGCTGTATCCTCCTCTTATTTTTAAGCAAGCAAACAAGCAAGCACGATCGAGTCACGGTGAAACTTGCTGTTTGCTGCTGTTCCTCGCTGACCGAAGCAATCTGCGATCATCGCTGTTGTGTTATTGTTACCTCGCTTTCCTTCAATTTGTCCTGTTGTTACTGCAAACTTTTGCGAAATTACACCCCCCCCCCCAACTAGAAGATTCTTTACTTTTGGAAAATAGAAATATGTTTAGGTTGTAATATATAATATATGTTTCTCTGTTTAATTAAAAAATATAAAACAGAAAAAAAAAGATTTCTTTCCAAATAATATTTGTTGCAATTTAAATATGTGCGTATACAATTTCAGGCCTATAAGATCTATCATCTTCTTTTCGTTTGGTTATTTTGTATTTCTTTTTTCCTCCATGATGTTCAGATTTTACAAGCTTGATAATTAATCTTTTTCTATTTCAAGCATGTATTACGCTAAAAAATATATATAAGTATATTTATATGTAAATCCCTGTATCTTCTTTCTTATGATGTTCACATTTAGAAAAATTGATTTTTTAAATAATAACAACGATCGTGGAACGTTTTACAAACTGAACAATTAATCTTTTTCTATTTAAAGCATATACTGTACTGAAAAAATATATATATATTCATATATACGTATGAATGTATATATATAATATATATATATATATACATATTTGTTCACATCACAACAAAGCAACGTTTTCCAAGCAGGATAATTAATCGTTCCTTCTATCTCGAGCATGCTCCATTTTGTGGTCACCAATTGCGTCGCATTTATAACGCTATCATACTAAGATAAAAGTTCGTTTCTCGTTCTCGTTGACTTTCGTCCGACATTCTTCTCTCTTTCATCGAATAAATTAAAAAGACAAATTTTTTGTTAGACTTGTTTTAATTCTTCATATACTAATCGATGATCATTCTCATAAAAAATATATAATCTTACACGATTAGGGATATCTATGAAGAGTATAAAAAAAAAATGCTGAAAATAGAATACCTTCGTAAGTTTGAATGCCTTGAACTTGTGAATACCCTTCGGGATTCATTGGTTTGACGACGTGTTAAATTTTAAATTTAGATGTCGATACTGAGAAGGCCTCATTGGAGAATACTGCAACTAGCAACTTGTACGAGAGCGTATGCGTACCAGATTTAGGTGATTTTTTGGGATACCAAGATTCGTCTGGTCATCAGGATCACAAAAGTCCAGCTACGACACCAACAAGTTCTAACAGCACTAACTCGTCCGGCCAAACGCACGGTCCTACCACTCAAACAACAACCCCTACGCAACAACAGCCATCGTCCGGCGCAGTTTCTTTGGCCTCAAGACAATATCATAACGACGGTAAGTCGTTAGTTTTTTTTCCTATGTATAGAAAAAAAAATGCGTATTCTCATATTATTTATCTACATGTGTCAACGATGATAAATCGATTAGTCAAATGTGAATGATCTTCTCATGGAAATATTTCTAAACGATTATTAGAATTTTTTCCCGCTTTTCGATTCTTTTCTTTTTTTTTTTTTCTTTAATCGACCAGTCGGACGAAGGATGATGAATGAACGAAACGTTTTCCATTTATTCCTGACAGAATTAACTCTCGCAAATTTAAGAACGATGTTGCTGCCATGTTACGTCAGGCTAAGTGATAGGATCTCTCATTAGCATCGTCTACCGTCACTCACGCCTTCTTATTCTTCTTCTTATTATTCTTTTTCTCCTTATTTCGCAGATAGTATTGCACATATGCTATCAAGTTTGAAGAAATAACTCTCATTTTCATTCTTTCATTCGATCAAAATGACAATTTCGTTTTTGTGATTCTTCCATAAATTGGATTTCTAAATGTATATAAATTTTATTAAAAGATACATTTATAATTAAATCATATAAAATTTATTTTTTTATTTGTAACGTAACAATTAATAACAAATGTAATAAAAAATAATGAAATATGGATACGTTTAGGGAATAAAAACGGTGGTAAAATTGTAAATGATGTTTTATCAATGAAAAGAATTAAAAGGGAAAAAGAAAAGAGGAAAATAGTATCGAAGAGAGAGAGAGAGAGAGAGAGAGAGACGGAAGTCGAACGAAATAGAATGGAATAGCACGGAATGATGGAGAAGATTATAAAGCGAGTCTCTTCTACGCTAGCAGGCCAACAATTATCTAGTCTCTGGTCTAGGGGGGCCTTACGTCATTGCAACAGTGACCGTGGCTGAACGAGGGAAAGTCTGAGCGTGCGAGTAGCCCTCCTCCACCTTCTTCTCCTCATCACCCTCACCCTCATCTTCTTCCTCCTCCTCCTCCTCCTCTTGCTCCTCATTCTCTTTCCTCCCACACTGCTCGTTCACTCTTTGTACGCTTCACCGCGGACGATGAAGAAGACGATTCGCGAGTTACTCTCCAAACAACATACTTTGTTTCAACCCAACGCGATGATTTCTCATTCTTTCGGAAAGATTATGGTCTTTTATTTATATGTATATATATACATATAGTTAAGTATCTAACAGGTGGTTGGAAAACAAATATTATGTAATATCGCGATAAAGAAACAAGAAGAAGAATAAAGGAAACAAAAAAATATACGCAACTAGTGAAATAAGAGGAAAATTAAAGCTACGCAAAAAAATGGTTTCTGTCTGAAATCATTGTAGATATTAAATAGAAGTTAAAATGTATATACGTACATGAATGGAATTTTTAATCGATCGGATATGATCATAGATTGTTAATGAATAAAAGAAAGAAAACTTGCATATATATATACATAGAGAGAGAGAGAGAGAGAGAGAGAGAGAGAGAGAGAGAGAGAGAGAGAAAGAAATGTTTTCTCGTTAAATAATTGATACTAATTCAAGTTAAATGCATGGCGTGATTAGAATCCTAATATCGAATCGGATTATTATTATTATTATTATTATTGTTATTATTTTAGTATCTAATTAATAATTGAATATTTCAATGATTTATCGTCGAACGATTTCATGGCCGTTCAATAAGATAATCGAGTTAAAAAGAACACCAAAGATTGCTGTTACTCCTTCTATTAGTGGTGAGAAAGAAAATAAAATATTATTAGAGAGAGAGAGAGAGAGAGAGAGAGAGAGAGAAAGAGAAAGAGAAAGAGAGAAAAAGAGAGAATGATCAGAATGCTGTGTAGCCCATCGTGGTTAGTTAAAACGCGGTGGTTGCTTAACAAATAATCATTGTACTCGTCGGTACGATTGACTAAGCTTTCCCATAAAGGTACCAATGGCGTCACAATAATACGTCGATCCTTTTTTGGTTAGCGGGACCGACGTCGCGCTTTTAGAGCCTAAAGCAATGGTTTTCAAAGTGATACATCAATATATTATTGATTACAAAAATTCAATAATTAACTTCTCTCTCCAAAAAAAATAATAGAAAAAATCATCATGAAAGTGTAATTCAAATAATCGATCATTTTCATAAAATAATTCTAAACTGTAAAATCAATTCGAGCCGTTGTTTCAAATTAAAAGGAAATAAATTATTGGTGCGCGCGATTATGTTTATATATAAAAAATTAATGGTATAAGGATGGGAAGAAGGGTGGGTTATTTTAGTTATAAAAGTTTGAAAACCACTGGCATAGGGGCCACTAAAGGAATCGATTTTGCACGCACACGATACAGTAAGAAAGAATCGTCCTTTGTGCTGTCGCGTCTCCGAATGCCAGCAAGTTTTAATTTATACATACGATATATACAGGGTTGCTTACGAGCACGCGTTAGTTTTCTTATATGTTTGTATGTGTGTATGCATGTGTATGCGTGTGGTGTATGTATATGTTTACGTATGCGTATGATCGTTTGTGGGTCCGTGCACGTGCGACGCGACGCATGTACGTGACGCGAAGCAACGAACGTTTCTCGTCGTCGTCGTCGTCGTCGTTGTCGTCTTAGTGTAGTAGTCGTCGTAATCGTCATCGTCTTAGAAACAAGCTTCGAGTTCTCAGTTCTCTTCGATATAAAAAAATTTTCTAAATCTTTATCTTCCGTTATTATTATTTTTCTATTTCTAAGAAACTGTTCGTCCAATTTAACAATAAATATCAACTTTGAATAATTTAATATATATTATTATATATACATATATATATTAATTATTAAGTAATTTCAAATGTTATCAAACAAATCGTCTAATTGTTCTTGCACTTTTTATATAAAAATTAATTATACCTATATTAATATAATCATATACATTATTAATATATTAGTATTAGTTAATATAATTTTATATAAATAGATTGCATTATATACATAAAATTATTTTTTTGTATATATATAAATATTATTAATTCTTATACAAATATTATAAACAAATTTGATATATCAAGAGTAAAATAACGAATTTTTCTCAGAATATTTTGTTCTCGCTAGAAAGAGAGAGCGCGAGCGTCTCTGTTCTGCTGTGCATGTGTATGTTTGTATATATGTATGTGTATATGTGTGTATGAGAAAAAGAGAGAGAGAAAAAGGGGAAAGAAAGAAAGAAAGAAAGAATCGAAGATAGAAAAAGGTTTTCTATCAAACGTAAGACGTGAGCCAAAAGGTGTAGGGATAGGAAAAGGGACGACGGGGTAGTTGGCGCAGGTTGTATTCATTCGTTCGTTCATTCATACTTCGTACTACAAAGGCTCGAGCTCATTCAGTACTCACGACACGCACACTCACATATCTCTCTCTGTCTGTCTCTCTCTCTCTCTCTCTCTCTCTCTCTCTCTCTCTCTCTCTCTATTTCTATATATGTATTTATTCTTTCCGTCCCTTTTCTTTTTCCTGTGCGTGTTCTTCTCTTCGATATATTCGCTTTCTCTTTTACTCATTCTCGACGTCTTCCTTCATTTTAATCTCTCTCTTTCTCTTTCTTTCTTATCCACGTATCTATATCATCAATGTAGTACATATAACACACCAACACATACAAATATATATATATATATATATATATATATATATATATATATGTAAGAAGTAAAAGAAGAGGTAAAACGGGATTGGTTTGCGAACGAATAAGTAAGGCGGGCTGAAGAACTACGAAAAAGGAGGGTAAAATGTAAGCTCACATTACGACCGGAAGTCGTAGTAGAAGGGAGGCAAAGGGAGGAGCAGTCCTACCCCAATATATTCTTCTAAAGAGCGAGATAGTTTTATAATGTCCTCGAGTGCTCCTCCCTTAATGCATCCCAAAATGCATCCCCCTCTCTCCTTTTTTTTCATTTTCTTCTGGCGTATAGCAAAGGTATTGTTGCTCATTTCTAAAGGGAACAGGGAATCGTCGAGACGCCTAAAACGTATTGAAACTAGCTTAGAATAGAGAAGTGGCTACCGAATCTTCGTTCGTTTTATGTCCAACTCGTGCTGAAAATATGTACTCTCCAATCTCTCTTTTTTTCGTATATATATTATATATAATATAATATATATTATATATATATAAAAGCATTATATCATTCGTGATTCATACAAGTTGTCAGTTTTATTCGTACGTTCTTGCATTCGTTATAAAGATAATAATAAAAAAATGATTTAAAAAAAGTGTGAGTTTATTATCTACAATTTATACTCAAAAAATAATAATGATTCACGTTTTCGTGGTATATATTAAAAAGGAAAAAAAGTCAACAAATATTATAATAGAAAAACATAATACCACATAATATACTTGTCAAGATTCATTTCCGAGACCTAGTAAATGACTGATCGAGTGTAACTAACTGACAATAAGTAAGATGATCGAAAATGTAAAGATAAAAGGGCTTCCCAAAAAAAAGACTTATCCTCCCTTTCCCTCTATCAGTAAGTTTTAAATCAATGTATCAAGTAATGTTAAGCGTACATTCCACCATTCTTAATTAATTTTAATGTATTTATAATTTAAAATTAAACGAAAAGGCATAGATCATAAAAAGAGGGTACTTCTCGTAAGTCCCATCGTTGCTATCGCCACTGACAAACCTTAGTCTCTTTCTCTCTCTCTCTTTCTCCTTTTTTCTCTCTATCTATGAAAGCATGGCACGAGGCTGAGGCGTAAGGGAAAGAACACTTCCGGTCCCCTCTACATCACGTGCGAGCCGCCGAACAGAGAAACCCCCTATTCCCTCGTCCCGCCTTACATCCGGCCTACGTCTCTCTCTCTCTCTCTCTTTCTTCCACCTCTCCCAACAGCCACGACTCCCTCTCAAAAATAGGCTAGAAGGGCCCCTTCTCATAGCGGCCGTTTCGTCGATGGACGGGAAAAGACGTGCCTAAGCTCTATATTAGTTCTACCCAAAAACGTGACCTTCTTCTTCTTACTATTATTATTATAAT